AATAAATATCTATAAAATTATTGTCAAATAATTTCTAAAATTTAAACAATCGCATCCATGGGTTTCAATTTAAGCAAATGGAGTTTAGAAAATAATTAACGTACTTGAAATCTAAATATAAGTTATAGAACATAACTTGTATAAAATAAATTATGGTAACATAAAACATACGTAAAATATGTTTTGGTAACTCAATGTATAATATAACTCACATTACTATTGATTTCTCACTCTTACTTCCCTCCGTCAAAGACTTTCTTTACTTGTTAGTTTCCTTCCGTTCTAGTTTTTTTTTTTCCTTTTGTTTTTGTTGCTTGATCGGAGCAAATCCTCCCCTATTTATAGAGAGGCAACCGTGGGCACCAAGCCACAAGGTTGCTCCTAGTTCATACACATGGCTCACCCAAAGTCTTATCCCTTAACTCATGTTTATCCTTTTTTTCCCCCCTTAACTTTGAGTGTAATGTTACTTTGGCCCAATTATAACCATTTTTGATAATATATAATCCCTAACTACTCTTTATCACATAAAACCATAAGATTCAATATTTTATTGTATATATATATATATATATATTTTATGTGGTATTTAATTAAATATTTGGGGTGTCACAATGCAAGCGTCTTAGTGAGAAGATGTAGGTTGGATTTTAGTTGTGACAAGATTAGCAGCAGTGTGTGCTGTGGATTACCTCACATGGGTTGAGGGGGTGATTGTTGTGATATCACCCCATGTGAGGGGTGATCTTCTTTCTTTTCTACTCTTCTAAAACCAAGCTAGAGCTTGGATGAAGAAGTCAAGAATGGCAGCACCGAATTCAGCGGAGTGAGCGTATGCGAAAATTAGGAGTGATCTGTAAAAGAAAGCCGACTAGCTTCTTCTCTCCTCAGTGTATAAATAGAGGAAGAGAGAGCAGAGTGAGAGTAAGCAACCAAGGAAAATGTAGAGAGAGTGAGACAGAGAGTCCCTGAGTGTGAGAAATGAAAGCTCCCTGTGTGTAAGAGGGAGAGCTTAGTGGGAGTTGAGTGAGAGAGTCTCCTCCTTCATTGTGTAAATCTCTTTGTAATCTCCATTTATAGTGAATCTCTGGTTACTCTCCCGTGGACGTAGGCATTGAGGCTAAACCATGTTAAATATTGTCTCCTTGGGTGTGTGTGTTGTTTTTCTGCTTGGTATGATTTCTAAAAGGTCTTAGGCGGGATCCCGGATCCCCAACAGTTACTTAATGCTTTCAACCACTTCCTATGTTGGCATGGGAGAGGTGGTGTCGAAAGAGGCTTTTGATTGGGTGCCGAATGATCCTTTGATTGCTCAAGCTTTATCAGTGATTTGCAGAATCATGGATGACATGGCTGGCCACAAGGTAATAAGATAGATAAATTATAATACATTACAATATTTATGAAATTTGAAGATATTCTTAATTTGCTATCATATCCTCTAACTTGATGGTAACACTAACTGTAGTTTGAGCAAAAAAGAGGTCACGTAGACTCTGTAGTTGAATGTTACATGAAACAATATGGTGCATCAGAGGAAGAAGTGCTTGTTGAATTGCGCAAGGGCGTTACTAATGCATGGAAAGACATAAATCAAGAGTGCCTCCACCTAACAACAGTCCCAATGCCTCTCTTTTATACAAGGACGAAGATGGATACACACATTCTGGAGCCAAGCTTAAAGGTTTTGTGACCTCAATGCTTATCGATTCGGTGCCAACATTTACATACAAAGAATAAAAGCCAATCATAAATTGAAGACATAATGTCTATAGACTGACAAGATTTTTCAAAAATAGATATACATAAGTATTTTGTGTGTGTGTGTGTGTTTTGTTTTGTTTGTTTGCTTGTTTTGTTTTGTTTTGTTTTGTATTTGATTTTAATATTTGTAACAGAACTAAGCAGTACTCTACAGATAATTCTCTTCTTATAGAGCGATGGAATTAATGGGAAGTCGGGATTAATCTCTTTCTTGAAAGATTGTAATATGATATGAAATCATTTAATTAATTTTTAATAAAGGAATTTTTTGTTAGCATCATCAAATTTGTACATGTCAAACTCAAAGCAATATTTCAAAATAACAGAGTTAAACAGTCTACTTTGTTACAAGTGGAAAACAATGGATCAAGCTCGGAATTATGTCCAAGTTGTGATATTCTTAGGACTGCAAGAAAAAAATGTCATAGCTTTTCTCCAGTCCAAATCGGATTGAGGGTGTTGTTGGGCCTTCGTGGGCTCACTACGTAACCTGTATCGATAATTCGAATGGTTCAATACATAGAGCTCGTCGAGTATTTCATCCTTATAAAAAATCATATTGATCGGATATCGATAGCCACTTTGAGTAGATCACATTTGTGTCAACAATAATTATTTATACAAATGTGATCTGATCAAGTTGCTATCGATATCCGATCAATATGATTTTTGCAGGGATGAAATACTCGACGAGTTCTACACATTAAACTGTTTGGATTATAGATGCGGGCTTCGTGGTAGGCCCATGGAGGCCCAACAACTCCCTTCAGTTAGGATATCTAACTAGAGAGGAGCCACTCCCAAGAAAAAATCGGTGAACCAAGCTTCGAGATCAACTAAATTTTAGTTTTTGGTACCAGATCATATATATATATATATATAAGTAGTTATTTTTTATTTTTTATTTTTTTATGTGACACATGTTGAAGTTTTTTTTTTTATTTTTATTTTATTGTAAAAAGCCACATCAACATGCCTTTTCTATTTACATATAAAATTATATACAAACTCAATTCAATTGTAATAACTAATTTTATATGGAATCTATTTGAAAAATACTTATTTTTAATATATTTTTCATTGTGTATTCAGTTTTGTCGTTGTCAGATTTATTTTATATAGTTGATATTTGGATATAGTATAAGGAGGATCAAATATCTCAAAGGTAGCTTGCAGAAGAAGAAGGAGCTCTCAAGGGTTATTTAGCTTCTCTGAATTTTTTCCAACCTCTAACACTGAGATTCATGTTCGTATTTATAGAATTTGAGTAACATAGGTCATAAATATCTTCAAAAATGGATAGCTGGCTCATTCCTGGCTAGAACAGTGTTTCTTGTTATCGAGAGCCGGCCGGCTCCCAATAGCTATGGCCGGCTCCCAATGTGATACGGCCGGCTCCTAATATGTTCCCCTGTTCCATTGTTTTAAACTCAATATAGGATGACATAATGTTCAAAAATGAATTTCTAGGGTAAACACAGTATAAATATGGAAGATTTAGGATTGGTTTTGGAGCATGAGGGTACGTTCCTTCATTGAGACTTCGAATCACACTCAACACAACTTCATCATCGAGTGCCCAGAACAAAGTGTCCAAGTCTTGTGGGCAGTCAAACATGGGGTGTCTACACATGGATTGCAAATTTGTAAGTTGTAGTTTACCTTTGAATGGTTGCGATTTCGTCGGAAGAGGAGAGAGGCAAAATAGGAGGGTGAGAGAAGAGAATCGGTGGTCGGTGGTCGAGAGAAGAGAGGACAGCAAGAGGCAAGGAGAGGTGGTCGGTAGTCGGTGAGTAGCGGTGTCTTCATAAGAGGAGAAGGAGAGAGAAAAGAGCGTATGAAAAAGGGAGGATTTCTCTAAAATGAGAAAGAGAGAGTATTTGGGCAGAGATGCTAGAAGAAAGAGAAAGAGCAGATGAAAAAGCTAAATCTGCACCATCCAAAGGGAATAACACATATTGATCTCAACCATTGAAATGCTCTTGTACAATATTTTCAAACTTTGCCTTGTTTTCAAACTCAACCATTGGATTAAATCAATCTGATGGTGCATATTTTGACAAATAGACAAAAATCCCATCAAAAATAAAAAATAGAGCTTCCTTGTTATATAGATTCCTTGTGGTCCGAAAAAGAGACAGCCTGCTCTACCCTGCCCAGCCCAAAAATCATAAAGCCAGACATCAAGAACAGCATAAACATCCATATTCTAGGTTGATATTTACATCATCAACAAGATAAAAGCCATGTTTGCATCGTGCTTGGATCACAAATGTTGCAATTTATAAGAACTGATTACAACTTATTTAAATTTAAAAATATGTACCAAACTATTTGGTACAATTTTTTACTTATAACTTATTAAATAAAAATAATTTACATAAATTTAAAAAAATAAATTTTCTACAAACTGAATAAAGAGTACCTTTAACTTTTCATTTATCATTAGCTTTTCAAAGGTCCTACTACTATACTCTTATAAATCTCATTTACCATGATTGTCATTACATCACTACAAGAAAATCGAGATTTAGCACCATTTTTAAAACGCCGTAATAGGCCATAAAAACACCACAAAAAGATAAGATAACGTTTACAATATTTGTCGTTGATACGGCCGCCGTCATATCTTTGTGGCGTTTCAAAAAAGCCACTAAAGAGCTTAGACAAATTTTTTTAAAGTGCCACTAATTCTTAACATCTATTAGAGGAGTTAACTATGACGTATTATTGATGATATTTTGCGACATTTGTGTGAAAAACGCCACCTTTTCTCTCTGGTTTTTTTTTAAAAAAAAAATTCATAATTAATGATGTTTTTGACTTTTGTTCAAAGCAAATCTATTATCCATCACCATTTTCAAAATATATACTATGATGTGAGTCAATATTCATTTTTAAAAAATCATATATATATATATATATATATGTACCCTATAACAATTATCAATCAAATATTCTTTACAAAAATATATAAAACAAGCTCTAACAATACTAATAATTTTTTATATTCAAGTATTCAAATTTTTAGTATCAACAATACAAACAAAAAAACATATTTATTATAGCTTGTTTTGATATCAATAGTAAATTCCAATATCAATGTGCGAAGATATCATCACGTACTCAAAAGGGTTGCATCTGCAAAAGAAATTAAAAAAAAAAAAAACATCATTTAAACCATAATTAATTTCAAACTGACAGAAAATTTAAAATATTTGATATTTATTTAAATAAATAAATAAATAAGATTGTAAACTCTAATATCGATATGCGAAGATATCATCACGTTCTCAAAAGGGTTGTACCTGCACAAAAAAAAAAAATCATTTACAATATAATTAATTTCAAGCTTACAGCTGGAGCAGCTAACCCTGTTGCCAATAAAAAAAGAATTTATCAGGAAAAAACACTCATGTCATTAGAAGCTTGTTAGCCAATAAATAAACAAAATTCTGTATTAATTTCTAAAATAGAAACTTATAGAATAGTTGATCAATCGTCCTACATTTCCTTTATTTGTAGCATCAATTACTACTTCCTCGCTGATATTAAATAGCTGCAAAAACATTTCACCATAGTTAACATACCAAAACACACTTGACAAGTGCAATCAAGAACAATAAATATTGGAATAAGAGGTGTTCTGAACAAGCTAGATTAAAAACTAGCTTGGTTTAATCAAAACACTAGTAATGTAAAATCGGAATACTAAAAATAAAGAGTCCCACTCAAATAAACAAAGATTTCATAAATGAATTCAGTTAAGTTTTGAAATCTTCAAAGAGTGGATTGACAATTTGGCAGGTCACAATTTATGATATTCCTTCCAAAAATCTGACTACATTGAACAAGTAACCAACTCAAGTCCGAGTGAATTCTGTCAACAATAAACTAAAAAATAAACTCAACCAAGTGAATTTCTAATGTTCTTCAAACCCCTAATGTTCTTCAAAGCCCATCAACTGGACTAGGAAAAAAAAAGGAGTTGGATTAGAACAAAATAATTATTGTTATAATTTACTCAGAAATGCTTTCGCTGCCTCTGAAATTTCCCAAGCAGAAGATCGAACCTCAACAGTTTTCTTTTTCTAGTCATCGACATTTTTTTAGCCTACGGAAACAAAAAGCAAAATGAATTGGAGCGTCTCAATATGGAAATTTTTCATAAAAAAGAAAACACATGTTCTCATCATGTTCGACAAATTGCCCAGGTTAACCCAAGCAGTGGAACTAAGTTCCCCAACTGTCACCCAGGTGACCACATACAGAAGTCAACCATCATCCTTCAACTAATCAATGCCATTCAAACTCCGAGGGTTTGTGAATATGGAATGACCATAAAGAAATAAAAATGCCTTGATGTGTGCAAATCAAACATAGATAGCAAATGATAGAAGTAACAAGAGAATATACACTCCAGGAAGGGTAAAAAATTGAATATAAAAATCTTAAGACCCATTGTTTTATGTCACAGAGAAAACCAGAATGATCAATCATGAAGTTCCATGCTTTTATGCACCAGCTGCATCATAATTCCAAATAGCTGGCATTAGTGATTAATGGTTGAAAGATGCAGAATGAAAAAGATTTATTCTCTATTGTGCAAATAAAAATTGACAAATCAAAGAAAGGAAGAGAGAGTACTACAGTGCTAGCATATTGTAATGCAAAGCACGATAACAAGAAAACAAGATCACACCCACTACAGGAAACAAATTAAGAATTCTATATGAAGCTCACTGGCAACATTGTCTAACCAATACATGCGGAGAAAATGAAAATGTGAATAATCAGAGCCTTAACTGCTTAGTTGTTTCGGTTCGTGCAGCTTTCACGTTTTCTCTGAGGCTAATAGCTTTCTCAACAAGCTTTGGTATTACCCACTTGATTTTGCATGTTACCAAAAGCAACAATTTTCCATTGATAATCTTTTACTTTCTGTTAAGCTTCAATTTTCAGTTTCTTTTAACAATGCAACCCAGGTCTTCGGCTATAGACTAATAAACCTTCATTTCTTGAGTCCAAATACTTATTAGTACGATTTTATCTATTTTGTGCATCTTGGGATATTTGCTGGTTTTTCTTTGTGAAGATTTCACCGTCTGAGCTAGCTGGCATCTACACCTACAATACAACTATCCATTCCCTCTTCCCCATTCTTCATCTCATCCACATTTAGATTGCCTACTACAGTTACATATTCAGTTATTGTGGTCCTAATTCATCACATCCACCCTTATCATATGGTTCCAATAAATATTCCAGCTTTGAATGTTCCAAGCATGGGTAAAAAATCACCTCCGCTGCTAGAGGTTGGCAATCTGCTAACTAAAGCTTGCCAAATGTTTATCACAGTTGGACCAATCCATGCATCCCTCAATATGTACCTGATCATAAGTTGGAAAATTAAGACTGTTGTGGCCTAGCGTATAAAAAAGCACTTACCATCCTGTGTAAGATCCTCAAATATTGACATGACGTCAGTCTTGAGATGAGCAGGTTCAACAGTTGCAGCAAACTTCCCCAAGTTTGTTGCAGCAGACCTCCTCACCATAGGCATGTCATCCTGACACAACTGGCTGTATATTGACCGTAATTCTGTCTTTAACATCTCTGAGGCACTAGGGTAAGCAATATGAAATAGTCCACAAGCAGAGACTCGGGCTGTAAACCATTCACCTGCTGCCAGTCTCTATAGAAGGGAACTTTCATAAGAAAAGGAATATATTTCTTTGGTAAGAAGAATAATATATCACGAGGATATAAATCAGAAATACCGTAAGCCATTTATAAACACGGAGCAATCCCATAATTAAAATAAATCCAGAGGAAACCTAAAGAAGCAACATGCATATTTCAAGCTGGCAAAATGTACACTTCCATTTTCTAAAATAACACCATCATGGCATCACGCTGTAGAGTAGCCAATAGTAAAGAGAACAACAATGTAACAGGTAGATTTTTTTGTTATGGTAACAATGTAACTGCTTAGTTGTTTTGGTTCGTGCAGCTTTCACAGAATGCTCACACTTTGGCATATTATTGAAGTTCTTGTCCTATCCAACATAAAAAAAACACATAAAAATTACAAAATGCAGGACTATCATGGAGCAAATCAAGCTTACTATAGGAAAACAAAAAAAAAAAGAAGAAGAAAGAAATGACTCTAGAGGTATGGAGTTCCAACATACCTTAATAATAGGCTCAGCTGAAGGTGCATAGAGTCCAATAAAACAGTAGCAGCAGTAGGTATACTAGAACCAACCACTGCCCAGCTTTAGGTATACTAGAACCAATCAAGGTGCTATTAAACTCCTTAAGAAGTTCACCAGAAGTTAAAAAAAATTTAATAGCCTCAACAATATCCTTACCCACAACCTCCCAGGAACTCTTAAAGAAAGTAGCCGGGTAGCCATTGGGTCCAGGGGCCTTGTTCCCATTAACAGACAGGAAAAACTGTCTTGCTTGAAAAACAGCATGATAATGTGATTTCCTAACAAATCCAAAGCTAAAAGTTCAACCTTTGAGCTAATTTCCTAACCCCAATAAAAATAAAAACTACCTACCTAAATCAGGACTATGGAAAAAAGCATTTGTAAGACCCTTTTTGTTAAGTTAGTTTGAGAAACAATGATTAAGTAGTCATGGCTGTCATTGAATTCCTTCTTGACAAAAACAGAGCTCTAGAATTTAAGAAAATAAAATAGTTCAAAACATGGTCCTAGCCATGTATACACACAGATTTATCAGACACCATGAAGTCAATGGAGATGAAGAGAAACAATGTACTAGCCACAAAACAGAAAGGACAACTAACTTTAAACTAAAAAATGAGAAAGGGAAACAAAATAAAAATATGAGATATTAAAAAATATTTGCAGCTACTTGAACTAGTAAATATGAAACTGCAAAAACTCCATCATATTAACTTCAAATATTTCATTTCCCCTTTTACATTGATAAATTATAACCTATCAATTTGACAGAATAGAACCTCAACGACATTTCAGCTACACACTCCACTCACATTAATGGTTGTCATAAGTACAGTGTGCTTCACCCATTAACCCCAAAAAAAACAAAACTGTGCATTTGACAAAGAACTTGAACAACCAGCAATTCACACAAATAAATAACCCAGAAAACTCAAAATCATCACAATTCTACCAACAACCAAAAAAAGAAAAAAAACAAGGAAAAAAAAGTGTATTTCTCCCATTAATCCCAAAAAACAAAACTTTGCATTTGACAAAGAACTTTACTTGAACAACTAGCAATTCACAAAACCCTAACGCATCTTAAGGTTAGAAACACAAAACCCAAAAACCTCTGATGCCACTCATTCTCTCTCACCAAAAGCCATCATCATCATCATCATCATCATCAAAAAAAAAAAAAAAAAACAAAACAAAACAAAACAAAACAATTCAATGAGGAAGAATTAGATTTGAAATCTGCAAAACCAGATTTGAAAATTAGTTCCATCAGTTGCTTTCGTTAAAGATAGAATCATTGTCCAAGTTGAAGAGTAATGGGGTTTCTTGAAAGCAAAAATAAAAAATCAGCCTCACTTGAGTCTTCTGTAGCTCGATATACTCTCTCACTAGTCAAAGCATCCAAACCCTTATTCCCATATTCCGTAAAATCAACACTGCTAACACCCCTATCCCATTCAAAAGGCACCCAGAACAACTTCGAGCAACATAGAAAGGCACCCATGGAAACTTTTGATTTCAGATCGAAGAGAAGAGAATAGATGAGATGAGTGCGTACCGTCGATCGTTGCCACCACCGAACCAGTTTTGTTGTACCATCGAACTGTCTCGCCGTTGAAGAGAGATCACCGTTTGAAACCCTTCCCCTTCAAACCCTCTCTTTACTTTCAATTTAAAAGATTGAAAGTAAACCAAACAAAATTAAGAGAAACCCAGATGTGAAAGTACCTCAGAAATCCAGAGAATGAAGCAGAAGGTGTTCGCGAAGAGGAGCGCAGGTTCAGAAACGTGGGATCCAAAGGATATAGGAAGGAGGGAGGGAGAGAGGGGGAAAGAGAAGGTTAGAGGCTAATTTATCAAACCTCGTCGCAGGCATCCAGATTTCACAACCGTCTCCTCTCGTCGTCGCAGCCCCCGCCAGAGAGATAGCGTGACGACTGGGTGAGTGAGAGGGAGGGAGAGAGCAGTGAGATTAGGGCTTCTTTTTTTTTTTTGATCTCAAGAGATAACAGAGAATTTGGGAGTATCGGGAAAGAGGGAGAGTGGGAGGGGGGTTTTGGCACGAATTTAGGAATTACTATTTGCGACGATATTAAGGCCTGTCGCGAATGAAAGAGAAAAAAAATAAACAGAAAGTTGAAAAGTTTGGATGCCAAAAGGGTTCACACCCTTTAAAAAAATTAAAATCAGAAAAATTTTGCCACGTTTAACTTACCATCGCAAAAACTATAAATGTCGTGACGGCACTTAAACCGTCACAAAAAGTAAGCTTTTGCGACGACACTTAAACCGTCGCAAATTGTTCTGTGTCAAATGCCCCTTTTTCTAGTAGTGAGTGTTACATTAAGGAGTCTTTTTGTGTGTTATATTAGAATGTTACATTTGAGAAAAATACACTAAAGAGTTTTTTTGTGTGTTATATTAGAGTGTTACAATAAGAAATTTTTTTGTGTGTTACGTTAGAGTGTTACACTAAGAAGTTTTTTTTGGAGTGTTACGTTTGGGAAAAGTACAGTAAGGAGTTTATTTTATGTGTTACATTAGTGTTACGTTTGGATGTTAATTAATGTCAATGTTACAATAGGGACAATCACCACAAAAAGGAGCGACCACTACACCAATAACACTTTAAACGGGGTAACATCATCCACCTAGAAATCACTCCACTAAATCCCCACAAAAAAATAAAAACGCAAAAACTACCTTACCCACGCACACCCAACATTAGGAAAAAATCAAAACAAAATCACACACAAGGGCAAACAAGTAAACTTTCAAACCCCCAAATCAAGGAAATACAACATACCCAAAATAAAAAGGACTAATTGATTTGAAAGAAAACTTCTAGGACTAAATGGAATAACTTTTCTCCAAATGGGATTTATGAGTAATTTTTTCATTTATAATTAGTGACATTTTTTGTGATAGTTTTTAAGTTGTCATCGAAAATTAACAATTAGTGACATTCTTTTAATAGTGTTTGATGAAAAACATCATTAAGACCTATTGAACAATAAAGTCACCTATTAAGATGCCCCTTAAATTTTTTCCTCAATTAAAGTGAATCAAATATCATTTTTCTCAGACTCATTAAAACTTTAGCCAGAGTAGAGAGCAACACAATTCTCTATGGCCAAAAACTCGAGACGGGTCCAAATCAACTGAATTAAAGCCAATTGATTTTTTTTAATTTAAATTATTTATCTATTTTTATTAAATAAAACTAGCAAAAAATTAATATTTTAGTCATTAAATGTAATATTGTTGGCTTTTTGGCTTTCGAAGGTTAATTATGTAATTTTAAGCGTGCCAACAAGGATCAATAAGTCCTTACATAATTTATAATTGCCAACTAATTATCAAACGATTGTGCTGAAGTTTTTTCAATCTCACTGAAGAGGACTTTTACTGGTGGCTTGTTTTAGAAGAAATTTATAAGAAATAACAAGTACAGAACAATTTAAAAATTGAATTTCATTGAGTGAATAAGAACTTAGGATGAAATGACCCAGTCTGGAAAAGATCTACAACAATTACTTGAACTACTCCTAGGAAATGAAGTGCAGTATATGAATTGAAGTGCTGAAAATGTAAAGAACTGGAAATGTAAAAACTGGAAAGGAAATAAGAAGTAAATAAACTGGTTTCTGGATCTGAGTTTGGGTCCCTTACAATGTAGCCATGAATGGCTATTTATAGGCGAATATTTGTAGGAAAAAACTTCCAGCAATAACTACCCAATAATCACCTAAAACTACCCACTCTTCCATTTTCATTCCCACAATGCCACATATCCCTCCATGTCTTCATAACTTCCTTTAATCTTTAATTCATGCTCTATGTTCTCCACTTTGTCCTCCATGTTCTTCGTCATCTCCATAACTTCTTTTAACTTCCAAATGAATAAGAGGATGCCACATGTCCTAAAAATAATAACAATAATAATAAGAATAAGAATATTTTATGGTGCCAACATTACCCCCCGCGACCCTTAAATTAAAAATGATGTTTACTTGAATTTTTGAAGGGTCGGACCAAGCACATGACTAATGTAAGCAACAAAGTGCTTCGAATAATATCAACCAAGTGCTTCGAATGATATAATGGAACCAATAAAGTGTTTCGAATGAGCATGAAATTATGACTAGTTGTCTCGAATTATATATATGCCTTGAAGGGATATTACATATGTGCTTCGAATCGGAATCAATCCTTTGAAGGAAATTAAACAATTTTGTTTTACTCATACTTCAAACACTTAGAAAACTTGAAACCTTTTGAAGTAGGTTGATGTTGCTTGCACTTCGAATCATTCAGAACCACATATTTTCATGATTCACCTTAACAAGCTGTTACACATGATAGCTATTATGGACTAATAACAAGTTTCGAAGGTGATATAGAGGAGCAAAATCATCCTTCGACGGTCGAAGGTGCCGACAAAGGAAAAATTACATCCTTGAAAATACTCGACAAAACTTCAAAGGATCACAACCACCATTGTTGTTTCTTTGAAGTTGAGACCAAAATCATCCTTCGAAGGTCGAAGGTGCTAACAAATGACGAATTACATCCTTGAAAGTACTCAGCAAAGCTTTGAAGGTTCACAACCACCATTATTGTTTCTTCAAAGTTGTTGTTGATGTAAGATGGAGTTCTTTGAAGGTTACAAAATTATGGCAAAAGGGCTTTCGAAGCAACTTTTGGTTAACATTGTGGCTATTCAAATTTTGTATGTTCTAGTTCACACATAATTAGTGAAAATATTAATTTTGTGTTTTGAATCAATTATTAATTCTTCAAAGACACCAAAATCGTTGTTCCTTGAACCAACTTTTGTAGAATACTAGTTACATTTTCATGTAACAAATGGCTATAAAAATGTTTATCTGTAAAGCCACTAATTATCATGCCAAAATTGGCATTATTTGACAATTAATTAATTTCCATTTTACACATATTTGAAAGGAGGTACACATCTCGAAAGCTTTCTCATCCCATGTTACATTTTGAAGGTGCTTATTGATGACAAAACCACCCTTTGAAAGTCACATATGTTATTAAAGGATCAAAGTCGTCATTCGAAAGTGCTCACGACATCTCTTCGAACCAAAGCTAAAGAGTTGGATTACTATGAAATTAGTTTGGCATTGCCATTAGTGGCTATAAAATGATATTTCAATGAATACATATAACAACACAACCATTTATCCTGTGAAAAGAGGTTTAACAACCCTCACATGTTCTTAACAACATGCTTCGAAGGCAAACACAAAACCAAAAGGTGATGGTTTTAAATGGTGATGGTTTTATGGATCAACTAATAACCATATTTTTGGCCCAATATATTGCAATAACGAAATATTATTTGTTAGCCATTCCATCAAAGTCAATGTTTGATGTGATTCACAAATCCAAAATGGATTTTGAACAACAAAAGTCATGGTATAGTGTGACTATGAAAATTCATACTTTGTGACATTTTGAAAAATGTCAAAAATTTTGAATTCATAAACAGTGGCTTGTTCATTAATCTTAACCATGTTTGGTTTAAAAACATAACTTTTGCCGAATTGATTTTCATAATTATTTGGTAAAGTGGGCCATTTTTCCATGTTATCCATTAATGGCTTATGAAAATCCCCCATAGGTATATTATTTTCATGACTTGACTATTTAAAAATTGATTTTTGGACCTCCCGAGCCATGCATAGAACATCATTCTTAGCCAAATTTGGCTCAAGAAATGCTCTTTCTTTATGTTAATTTCATAATTTGGCTCTTTAAAAACGGGCTCTTGAACCCCCCAAGCCATTGATGAAATTATTTCTTCCCCAGTTTTAGTCATAAAAGACTTAAAAACATTTTGTAAAACCTCTCAAAATTCAGTCATTAAAGACTTGACACAGAGGGTTGACAACTCATGTCTCCATTGGCAAATCTCCACACCAAGTTGATGAATTACTCCAATTAAATGGTGTAATTTTTCTTCTACCAAATAATATGGTAATGAAGAAACAACTTGGAAGTTTTCTTCATCAAGAAAATGGATCTCTTTTGAAGATCCAAAATTTTTCTTTCACGCCAATATATTTCATTTTGACAAATTTGAATAGAAAAATTCAATTCATTTGTCATTTCTTCTTTTCTTCCTTCTTTGAGGCGCTCATTTTCTCTTTGTTGTCTACGTCTAGCCATTATAGTAGTCCCACCGGGCGTGCCAAAAAATATATGTTGGCTTTTTTGCTTTCAAATGTTAATTGTGTAATTTTAAGCGTGCCAGCAAGGATCAATAAGTCCTTACAAAATTTATAATTGCCAACCAATTGTCAGACGATTGTGTTGAAGTTCTTTCAGGCTCACTGAAGAGGAATTTTGCTGGTGGCTTATTGTAACAACTCCGATCTCTGATTAACGTATAATCCATGATTACGAATGCTTAATAATTAATTAAGATGAAATTTTGCATTCATTACATTTGTTATGTATTATATGAGTTTCTATCTGTTCTGTATTGGAATATCTGTCTCTGGTTTTGTTCTATTTTGCGAATTGAAGACCTTATCGGCATCCGATCACTAAATTGACTTGGTATATGTGTTATTTGGAATTTTTAGAACATTATGGTAGGTTTAATTGAAATTTGATTCAGAACGATTAAATTAGAGTAAATAATGTCAACTGATTAATCATTAATTAAGCCTTCATAATTGAGCCTATATAAGGCATGAGTGGGCTCTAGAATGCATTTTTACACTCTCATTTCATCTCTTTGAGAGCAAAAATGTGGGAGAGTGAGCGGGGAGCCTAGAGAGAGTGTTTGAACTCAAGAATTGGAAGAGGACTTGTGGAGAGTTAAAGGTTGGATTTGGAAACTCAAGCAATTGAACCTCTAGAACACCATTAAGCATCTAAGGTAAACAATCAAGCTTTTAGTCTTGTAATTTACTTGGTTGGTACACACATTCAAGAAATTGGGCCATGGGTTGCATGATTTGCACTAAGGAAGTGGGAAAGAAG